ATTCTAATAGAAAATTGTGTCTACCTACCTACCTTTGCAGGTAATCTGTGTAGGTAATCAATATTTTCAGTTAGAATAAATAAAACATTTCTGCATGTAAATATAAAGTGAATTGTATTCAATTGTATTGTATTGTATATATTGCAATCAGAATGAAACATATTATCAAACAAACTAAAAATTTCCTATTTGTGCGCATAACTGTCAAAATATATTAGTCTTTTGTTTTTTGTCCATCCTATCTAAAACTTGGAAAGCAACCCTACAGTATGTTTTTTTATTTATTTAAATAACTTTAAAAATAAAGAAATTATGACAGTTCAAAATGTTATCAAGATAAAATGACCACACTGTGCATCACTTTTGTCAATGCAATGCTATACAGGGTGTCCCACGGTGGATGGCGTATTAGACGTTTATGGAGAACTAAAAAGCGGATCATTTTGAAAATTTGGCAACCGGGATAAATGACCGTGAACTACACATTAAAAATATTTTTGTTTATGCGGTGTTGCCGCTTCTACTCTGAACCAGTGGCAACATCGCTATTTTAAATGAAACACCTGGTATTTAATTGCATATTTGGATTCTACATAAAATTCTGAGCAGATTTCATGTGATATACCCTATACCTAAGTTCAACTGTTTTGGAAATATTGACAGTTGAAAATTGACTTTTTGCAACTTTGACAGGCTGTAAAACCTGAACGGTTAATTTTAGAGAAAAACCAATTTTACATTCCTATCTTAGATTTTTATAAACTATCATTTGACACCAATTTTGAATTTAATCCATGATTAAAAATTCCAATTAAATTTAATCTCCGGTTAAATTCAAAGTTGGTGTCAAATGATAGTTTACGAAAATCTAAGATAGGAATGTAAGATCGGTTTTCCTCTGAAATTCACCCTTTAAATCATACAGCCTGTCAAAGTTGCAAAAAGTCAATTTTCAACCGTCAATATTTCCAAAACAGATGAACTTAGGTATAGGGTATATCACATAAAATCTGCTCAGAATTTTATGTAGAATCCAAATATGCAATCACATACAGGGTGTTCCATTTAAAATAGCGATGTTTTCACTAGTTTAGAGTAGAAGCGGCAACACCGCATAAACAAAAATATTTTTAAAGTGTAGATTATGGTCGTTTATCCCGGTTCCCAAATTTTCAAAATGATCCGCTTTTTAGTTCTCTATAAACGTCTAATACGCCATCCACCGTGGGACACCCTGTATACTTCAGCTCACTTTTCAGATTTCAGGTGGCATAGAAAATTTTGCTTGTTTTCCTTTGACTATTTCACTATGGTTGAACCAAATCCAAGCGGCAGTAAATGACAAACTGGTCATTTTCATTACAACCTATCAAATGTCCTCCATGCATGCGCACTAGTCCAGGTAGGGCGTTTCAACCAATAGGAAAGCTGGTGTTTGTTTATAATTTGGGTTATTGAAATGTCATTTACTGCCGATTGGATTTGGAAATGGAGTAGAGTGTATTACACCGGTTATACAACTCACTGTACATTATTCCCATATGACACGAGAGGCTTAATAAGTGATAAGCCTTTTGGGATTATCGCGCTTGGTGGCATTTATAGCAAATTCTATTATAGGAATTTTTTTTTAATTTTAAAATATTAAAGTTTAGCTCGTTGTATAACCTTTTGAATACCACTCGATGTTTCAGGATTACCTTAGGTACCAGGTAGCAGTTTTTACTGGCTCTTGAAGGTGACAAGCTCGCCTGACGGCTCGCTAGTCATTTCCTTCAATCGCCAGTAAAAACTGTTTTACCTGGCTAATAATGTAAAATACTATTATTTGTCACTCATTTGTAAAACGTCATTTATCAAGTCAAAACATAAACAACGAAAATTGATTTTAACCAGTTACTGGCTCTACTGACTTGTAAAATTGACAGCTAAACTGTAAAAACTTTTTACAAGTCAGTAGGGTCATGGTAGGGTCAATAGAATTATTTAATAAAATTGTATTAACTATCTATTAATTTTTTATTCATTGTTCACAAATGAGTAACAAATAAATTATTGTACATCATACGCCAGGTATCAGTTTTTACTGGCTCTTGAAGGTGACAAGCTCGCCTGACGGCTCGCTAGTCATTTCCTTCAATCACCAGTAAAAACTGTCTTACCTGGCTAATAATGTAAAATACTATATCCGGTAATCCTGAAACCTCTTGTGGTATTATTACATTCGATAATTTTTGAAAGTTTCATGTCTCTATTGATTAGTAAACCTGCGTAGGTCATGCCTTAGCATTGAGGATACGTTTGGGATCGTTTCCGCGAAAAAAGCTGATAATTCATATGAACTTTTGGGCAGTCGGTCGATTTGACCGAACGCGTGTAATGACGTAAGTTTTTTTGGGCGTGTAATACCGGGTTAACGGAGGTAAGTACCGCTTTTACTCCTACTATAACGATAGTCTATTATTTTCAACCGCATATGTAATGTTGACATTACTGAAATTTTATCGGGACGGAAATGTATATGCCTATGCCTAGGCAGGTATATTTACTTCCGTCCCCATTTCCCTGCTCGCTTTTCAATTTCCAAATTTGTGTTTTGAAGAAAAAAGTAAAAGCTGATTTTTGCAGGAATTTCACACTATCAAAGTTCATTGACAAGGTATGAAGGATTTCGTACAATGAAATTTTCGACTTTTTGCCTTAGAAATTAAGGGTTGAAAATAAAATTGTATACAAACCTCGACGGAAAACTTCATTGCTCTCTCGAGGTTTAGTTAATCTCGACCGTACACGTCTCGATAAATTAGATAACCTCTTGACCAGCAATAAAGCATTTTCCGTCCCGGATTGTAATATAACTATGTATTATATTTCCAAGATTTTGACAAGCTGTCATTTCGTTACGGATGAAAATAATGAGACGAAATTCTAGAGTCATTATAGCTATTTCTGTACCAAGGGGATTATGTAGCTTATAATGCCCGAAGGCGAAACTAGCCCGAGGGACTCTGGCCCGAGGGATATATTTCCTGGAGCGTGGTGCATACAATGCTTTATTTTCTACTCAACACGATGTTCTTTCATCAATTTATAGTTGGGGAGCTGGCGTCAAAAACATGCAAGAGTTTTCGCAAGGCGGATATTTTCAAAATAGGTCGTACTTTAGTGCTAGAATGCTAGTGTACAGTCAGCACTCACAGTTCCGGGACAGCTGGCTCTGGGACGCGGGCAAAGTTGTAATTTTAAGAAGCATCTAAACTGTTTTCTCAAAGCTCAAAATTTATAGAAATTTTGCACATTATCTGTTTGAAGGTCACAGATAACGTATGTAAATCGTCAGACGTCTAGTTCGTTGCAAAAAGGGGGTCAGACGTCCTCAAAGTTTTTATTTTATGGCATTTTCTTCGGTGACCTGTCAAAATATAGTTTTGCAGGTATTTGACAAATATATTTGAAGAAAATGCCATAAAATAAAAACTTTGAGGACGTCTGACCCCCTTTTTGCAACGAACTAGACGTCTGACGATTTACATACGTTATCTGTGACCTTCAAACAGATAATGTGCAAAATTTCTATAAATTTTGAGCTTTGAGAAAACAGTTTAGATGCTTCTGGAAATTACAACTTTGCCCGCGTCCCAGAGCCAGCTGTCCCGGAACTGTGAGTGCTGACTGTACACTAGCATTCTAGCACTAAAGTACGACCTATTTTGAAAATATCCGCCTTGCGAAAACTCTTGCATGTTTTTGGCGCCACCTCCTGGACTATTAGTATCAAACAAAATCAGTTAAACTTGTGTGACAGAATATTGTTTTGTATTTTGACATGTACCGCCTGTACCTAGAAATGAAATAAATTAATATACGTTTAAACATCTCATGAGGCAAGGCTAGCAGATGTGGTAGTGGTGGGGATTTTTGACTTATTATTTATAATAGTCTATATAAGAGCTATAGCACTTTTCCTTGGAGACTAGAGGATTGGCGGCAGTGCTGGCTACCTACCAGTCCGTACTACTGCAGTCAACCATTTCCATCCCGACATCATGTTGCTTGGCCTGAGTAGGTCGGCTTGCGTCCTTTATCAAGAAGTATCAACATGCCGGTTAGATTATAATGTATAAATAAATATAAGCAAAACAACTTTTAAAAAAATCCTCTTCCCGACCTTTGACATAGATCAATGAATAATATGTATCCTTACCAGAATATCGCTATTGCTGATGACATAAAACATCAGGTCAGAAGCCAATTGCGGACGACATTAACTGCTCAAAATAGATCTGATGATAGACATCTCGGAACTGAAACACGAGTGATAAAAGAGGATTTCAGATTTTTGATTGGCGATCATTGATATACCTTCTTACAAAAAAGAAAACATCAAATTCTGAGAGGGTGAGGTATAGTATGTACTGCAAATATTCTATTTCATGCGAAATACGTAAATTTAAAAAAGTCTCTGTCCATACCACATTGGCCATCAATAAGTTGATCCAGTATTCAGAGACTTTTAACTGACTACTTACCATGGCTGAGTAGAGGCTGGTCAACACCAAGTATGTAGAGCAAATAGCTGATATATTTATTACCTCTTTGATCTTGAAAATAAAGCGCCCAACACAACAGTTTTCCAGAATACTTCTCATCAAATCATTACATTGGCGCCTTATTAAGTTCGATCATTACAAATCCGATAGCTTCAAGAGTACACTCTGTTATTGCGGCGAAAATCAAATCTGGATTGACTGTAAAATATGGAATATGACCTCCTTAAATCAATCAGCCAAGTTATCCTTGTATCTTTGCCTTGAGAAATTTGCATTTAGACATTGTCAGCTGTTTTCTATCGCATACTTGTAGTCTCAGTCCTACTTCAGTGAAGCTAAGTGTCTCAAGAGCTGAATTTCGCATCAAGTTCAATGTGACTCTTAGGTGCCAAACATTTGTTGACTTAAGATTAAGACTTATAGAATTTACACATATTCAATTCTTTTTAGAGTGATGATGATTTGCCATTATCCAAAAGAAAACGCACCATTTCTCCTAGTACCTTAACGTGTCCGTATTGCTTGAAAGTTTTATCTTCTAAGAAAAATTACAAATGCCATTTAAGATTACATACTCAAGATGGACTAAGGTAAGATTTAAGAATCGTCAATTTTATTATTAATAAATGTATCCACTTCTTTTTAGATATTGTCCAGTTTGTCCAGCAAAATACTCACGCACTAATCACCTAATGAGACACATAAATAATCACGACAAAACAGACGGACAATACTCATGTAAATTGTGTAATGAAACGTTTTCCCTTTGTGGTGATCTTTATCGTCACATGAAAGTGCATTTAAACAAAGTCGAAAAAAAACTAGAAAAAAGCGAACTAGATATTAAAATAGAAATTATTAAAGATGAAAGTACAAATGCTGAAAAGGAAAATATTATAGAAGGAGAGGATGAAAAACTGACGCTTGATGAATTGATAGCTGAGAAAGATACTGAGGATTCAATGGACATTCCTTTAAGTCAATTTCCGTTTAGTGACAATGATGACAATTTTGATGATAGTATATCGAATGAAGATGAAGAAGAAATGGCATTGGTGGTTAAACAAGAAAAGAGACCCAGAGGCAGGCCACCATCAAAAAAAGATAGTACATTGTACGAGTGTAAACATTGTAGGAAAATTTTAACTACTCATGCTGGTTTGAAGCTACATTTAAGGAAGCATACTGGAATTGATTTGGCACAATGCAAGGTAAGAATAATTGAGTATGATTTACATTTGGTTTTATTTATTTATCTGTTTATCAATGAATGGACAGAATTTATGTAAAACTAAGTTTATTCATCGAAAATTAGGCTAGGCCCATGCATCTTGTATAATATAATAATGATTTGACTGGAGATACAGAAAACGTTCTCTGTTTTGAAGAAAGTGTTGCAATTTGAAAATGTCACTTAAACCTAGTATTCTAGTGAGGAATATCTTGATGTTCCAAAAATCTGTCTCAACCTTATTTTTTGCAAATAGAATATTTGGTCAATGTATAGCGCAAGCAAATGTTCCAAATATTCATGGTGAGAGTGACTTTGGAACCAGTCGTTTTTGTTTTCTAGAAATAACTTTCCATTCTGAAGATCACCCCCTTATCAAAATGCCATAGTTTAGTTGTCTTTATAATATTTTCACCTCAGAATGTTTGTAAAAGAAACAGGCATCATTTTATGAAGCAGTAATACTACACATGTTAATGTGCTATTTGAACTCCGGATTATGAGTCTCTAGATAAGATTTGCGGTAATTCACAGTCTATACTATTTTAGGCCGGGGTTACCCGATTCCTCAATTCTGAATTTTTGTTCTTAATTCTTAATCTTTAGAAACACCAATGTTAAATAAATTGAACTTTTCAAGAATTAAGGACAAATATTAAGAATGAAGGAATTGGGTAACTCTGGCCTTGGAGAAGTTGCAAATTTTTGGCACTAATCGCTTCTCCATGAGCATACTGAACATTAAGGTTCTTGTGAATATGGGGGAAAGTCATTTGCATAGATTATCAAGAACAATGGATCTACCCATTAAATTCTGCTTTGTGACATGAAAATAATGTATAGAATTTTTAATACCTATTTAGAAGTACCAGTCGTTCTAGTGACAACACGTATGTCGCTTCTTGAACACACAGATAAATTTAGTTTAGGAATTTCCTATTTGTACATGAAATTGACGTATTAGTAATCGACGTTCGTTTTTGTTGGTAATTTTTTGTTTCATCTGATTCGTGATTGATAAATAAGGATGGGGACGGGGTTATTCTAAATGGGTATTAAAAATACTATACAGGGTGTCCCACGGTGGATGGCGTATTAGACGTTTATGGAGAACTAAAAAGCGGATCATTTTGAAAATTTGGCAACCGGGATAAACGACCATAATCTACACTTTAAAAATATTTTTGTTTATGCGGTGTTGCCGCTTCTACCCTAAACCAGTGGCAACAGCGCTATTTTAAATGGAACACTCTGTATCTGATTACATATTTGGATTTTACGTAAAATTCTGAGCAGATTTCATGTGATATACCCTATACCTAAGTTCAACTGTTTTGGAATTATTGACAGTTGAAAATCGACTTTTTGCAACTTTGACAGGCTGTAAAACCTGAACGGCTAATTTTAGAGAAAAACCGATTTTACATTCCTATCTTAGATTTTTATAAACTATCATTTGATACCAACTTCAAATTTAATCCATGATTAAAAATTCCAATTAAATTTAATCTCCGGGTAAATTCAAAGTTGGTGTCAAATGATAGTTCATGAAACTGTAAGATAGGAATGTGAAATTGGTTTTTCTCTTAAATTAACCGTTCAGGTTTTACAGCCTGTCAAGGTTGCAAAAAGTCAATTTTCAACTGTCAATAATTCCAAAACAGTTGAACTTAGGTATAGGGTATATCACATGAAATCTGCTCAGAATTTTACGTAGAATCAAAATATGTAATCACATACAGGGTATTCCATTTAAAATAGCGTTGTTGCCACTGGTTTAGAGTAGAAGCGGCAAGACCGCATAAACAAAAATATTTTTAAAGTGTAGATCATGGCTGTTTACCCCGGTTGCCAAATTTTCAAAATGATCCGCTTTTTAGTTCTCCATAAACGTCTAATACGCGATCCACCGTGGGACACCCTGTATATGTTCTGATACCTTTCATATCGCAATCAGAGTGGTCTCAGGCATCCAAAAATAATTTAATGTAGATGTGAGTCTATTCAAGAATTTAAAGGTGGCTTGTGAAAGTTTGAAGAGAATCTGCAAATTTCAAAATTTCTATTCATTAAAAAGATTTTTAAGCGTGATTTGTTTGTAAATGCACACCGCAATATTATCATTTGATAATTTAATTCTTGAATGCCTATTATTTGTTTAAAGCTGACAATAAATATAACACCCCTCAATTAAATGCTTAATATCTTCCCTTCAAATTTAAATTGAATAATTATTTTTAGCATTGTGATAAATCATTCACAAAGAAGAGTCATCTAAATAGGCATTTGCGCTCTCACGGAATTAATAATGTTAAAAACAAATTGAAGGGCGACAAGAAGGTTTGTACATTCCGAATAAAACTATTTTTTAGTGGTAAACTTGTATTATTTTATTAGTTGCATGTTGTATCTTTCTTGGTTTTTTCATAGGTCATAGCTATCATCTTCAATGGCAAATAACTATGTTCATGTTTTAGTTGATTTTTTTAAATTTTCTTCTGCGTCAAGAAGCTAATTATCATCTGTACAAAATTCTGTATTTTTCCAGACTAGAGAATGCGAATTCTGCGACCGTAAATTCAAATACAAAAAGAGCTACTTGCATCACATGCAAATTGAACATGGAATGTCCGATATGGAAAGTGACACTGAAAAAAGACCCACCGAAGATACACCAATCGAAGAACTGCCAACTGCAAACAAAACCGACAAAACTAACCAAGAAAATGGTGACATTGCCCTTGAAAACTACCAAACCAACGGTGAAACGTCAGTAGAAGACTTGCTAGAAAAAATGGAACCCGGAGACGATCTAGATCTCTCTCAGCTTGATGAAAATGACACAAAGCCCAAACTCAAAGTGCACACTTGCCACGTTTGTCAAGCTCAATTCGCCAGAGCCAACCACCTCACCCGACACATGACTTTGCATAGAGCAGTGTTGACGCACAAGTGTGACAGGTGCGACCAAGCATTTTTCACAGAAGGTCTATTGAAAGAACACATAGAACAGCAACACATCAATAAGCCTTACATTTGTACGACTTGTAATAAGCCTTTCAGTAGGGGTGAGCATTTAATACGTCACTTGAAGTTGCATCAGGAAGTCACTGATGAGGGTGAACATAAGTGTTCTATTTGCGAATCTGTGTTTCAAAGGTAAGAGATGGCTCATGTTTGATTGGACAATTTAAATATCATTAAATATAAGAAATTGTCATGTATTTCATACTAAAATGTATGATTTTTGTATTTTATAAATAAAAAATTAAAGTGTATTTGAATTTTCAATTGAAATGCAAAAAAATTTCAGATCTGATCATCTAGCAAGACACACAAAAACCCATTTGATGCAAGATAAAAGACACGTTTGCCTTGATTGCGGTAAGGCCTTTAATAGATTGGATAACCTTAAAACTCACCAAAGAATCCATACTGGAGCTAAAGATAATGCGAAATTGCATTTGTGCGTTTATTGCGGTAAAGAATTTAATAATTCCAGTAATATGGTGAGTGGCTTTTCATTATTTTTCTTCTGTACAATTAATTTGTTTTTATTTTGTTTAGATTGTTCATATGAGGAGGCATACAGGAGAGAGGCCCTATAAATGTAATGAGTGCGGTAAAGGTTTTCCAAGATCTCACGACTTGAAGTGTCACGAGAGGACTCATTCAGGTGAAAAGCCTTATTTGTGCACATTGTGTGGGAAGTCCTTTAATAAAAGTAATAAATTGGTGAGTGTTTCTTCCACATAAATTAATGTCAATATTTTATGCCTGTGATTAAAGTAAAGTTTTTTGATTAGTGTAATCTTAGTTTTGTGGTGACTGAGTACAGAATGTTCTCCCAATGTTTTAATCAGCTATGTAACGATTATTCATCCCGCTCTTGGGGCTACTCGTCATCCAAGGAAATAAGTTCCACTCATTGAAGTAAGGAAAGTAATGCAATAAGGCAAACTCAAATAATTTATCTATTTTATTTCCTCGCAATGCCTGCCTGACGGGCTTTCACAAATATTTTGACAAATTAAATAAATAAATAAGGTGAATATACAGGGTGTCCCAGGGAAAACAGTCCACCCCGATTTATTGGGTTTAGGATGAGAATATGGGAAAACGCTCGGACACGTCGATTTTTGATTTGAGGGGGAACTATTTTTCAGTTTCTTTCATCCCCGTAGCTTCAACCCCTTAGCTAGGGGGAGAACAACCCCCCAAATTTGAATAGGGGATAGGGGTCATGTCATATCTCTTTTTAAAGGTCTCATCAAGTTCTTTATGGCCCAGTCCACATACATAAATTAATACACCTGATTGTCGAACATAAATCCGCAGTACTTGGTTGAGAGATTGATGGACAAAGTTTAATTTGCCAGAAACTGCTTGTTAGATCTAAGGTGCTAAAAACGCAGCTTCTATTACATTGGTACAGCAAGTGTTCCGCCGATTGCGGACATTCATAATCCATGTCGATCTTCTTATTTAGTGCCTGGGCATCTAGACACATTCTGACCGTTGTTCCGTCTCTTTTAATTACTGGAATTCTTGGTGAAATTTATCGCTGTTCCAGAAGAATACCGACGTATGTACCAAAACAAGAATTTTACAGGAGACAACCTTGTTATTTCATAATATACAAATTCCGCTTAGAAATTAGTGCTAAGCAAAGAGAAAAGAAGAAAATGAACAAAAAACGTAAAAAAATTATACTTAGAGTTAATAACATCACTTTTGCACCAAGGTGTTGCTTGTATTTAAGTACATGAATCTCAATTGTTGGGTGAATAACGACAAAAACTGCACTTACGTCGGTAGTTCTCCAAAACTGATTCCACTTATTGCAAAACTGATCGATGCCTCGGCGTTGTTGCTGCAATTTCCAACTCCAAATGTTTTATCCCCATCCCAAGGTATTCTTGGCAATGCACATTTTTGCTTTTATCGTCCGTGGCTCCCACGATTTTTACACCTGTTACCGGCAGTTTCAGGATATTTTGGTTCGTCTCACAAATTTCATTATAAAATTTTCTGGCTACCTGACTTACAGTATCAATTAGGATTACACATGTTCTATCCTTTATTTTTGCCTTTATCAATGGCGTTTCATCATATTCCTGATTCTCTCCTTCTTCATCAGATTCAACAAAAATGGTGTCGCAGATCCGTTTAGCATTCCGTTCACTGTTTTTATAATATTTGTTCTGTTATATTTTATTCATGTGGTTTTGTATTTTTATTCTCAGTGTGTCCTGCTGTATGGAATGCCTTGTGATATTTTCCCGAATATTTTCCTCATTGTTCTTAATTATTTGAAACCTCCATTCCATTGTCGTTTGGGTTAGATGGATTATTCTCAATCTGTCTAAATGCTCTCGATATTTTGTTGCCCACTATGTTATCAAGTTTAGCTCCTCTTATACTATCACTGTGTGATTTTTCGGAGCTAGAAAAACACACAAGTTTTCATTTTTTCGACCCAGACTGTTCCTGTCTGGGTTGGAAACCTGTATTAGTTGGATCCCTATAATTGTCTGTACTTTCTGTATCTTATCCGAATTTTCATCCTCGTATTCTCTGGCATACATTGAATTTACTCCATATGTTGGCTCTGCCCTGTAGTTTTTCTCTCGGTTCCGATCAATCCGATCTAGTTTGTATTTATTGTCATGACCCTTTTCCTGGTATTGTTTTGGATTGTATTGTCTATAGTTCTGGTACCCCTCTCTGTTTCTATTGTCACGTTTTTGATTGGTAAATTGAAATTTTCTTATTGTTCCGTGAGTCATAATACCTTTCATGTGTTCTAGGTCTTAATTGAGAACCTTCACTTTGTGCATATTGATGGATATCTTACCCTTTCTCTATCATCCCGGTGTAATTCGTGTCCTGGTATCTATGGTTCTTTTGATAATAATTATTATTATAGCCGCGAGTGTTACTTCTATTTTCTAGGTTGTCAAATTTTTCCAACGATTCCAATATTTTCTCCAGGGATCTATATAGGGTACAAACTAGCCAGAATTTTGGCTATGTTGATGGGAAAATGGTCAATCAACAAATCGATTCGTTCCTCGAGTGAAATTAGATCAATTTCCTTAATTTTCTTCAACATTTTCAAGAAAAGACGACATATTGCACTGCACTGCATTGCACTGCATTTCTTGAAGGTACTGTAGTATTCCACTGCCCTCGTTCATTCGTTGGGTCGTAGAATGGTTTTTCCTTATAGGTACAGTTCAGCTGGTCTGGATTTATTCTCTTTTCTTGCAACGGTTCTTTGTTATACATATTGGGTGTATCCTTCCTCCGAGTGTTTGCTTCCTGACTTCTCTGTTTACATTTTCCGAACACTTGATATGTTTCCGTATTTTACTGATCTTCAATATCCATTAATCTTTTAATGTGTTCACTTATCTCCAAGTGCACTAGCTCTAGACTTTCAAACCCTCTGAACTCTGGTGATTGTTGTTCATCAAACACTCTGCGTCTACTATCCAATTTGTCTCGTCTTTGACTTTTCCTTTTGTGCTAGAGAATTAGTTTTTGGGATAGCTTCCTTCTTCCTTGCACTCTTATCAACTTAAGACCTCGTCGGAATGTCTTCTGTATTAGGATATTTTTCCGCTATATTCTTTATGTGAAATGTACAACCAAAAAAAAAAAAATAGAAATTATTCATACACTAATCCGAGCGAGGGAAAAAAAAACATAAATAGTGCCCCTTTGTATTAAACACAGTAGGTAGATTATATCACTTCGCCAATGAACTCACCAACTATAAACAAGCGCGACACTGTCGATGCCGATCTTTACTTAAAAAAAAAAACAGAGAAAAAGAAAAAAAGAGAAAAAATAAATAAATAAATAAATAAGCAATTATGATGAAATTCTGTTGGTGTATGAGCGGATTATCAGTTGAGAATGTATAATGTATAAAGAAATGATAACAATTGCGTTCCCTGGCATAGGCACCCTGCTGCTTAAAACCTATCATCGGATGTTCCCCTGTTAATAGCTGCAATCGCAGTTTACTTTATAACCTACAATAATATTGTTTAACAAATCTGTGAAAAAAATACCTATACATAAGTACAAGTTGTTCAGAAAGTCTCAAATTTTTATGCTCGGGCGCCAGTTGTAATGATTCCACCCTCTCTTGAGGGTACTCGCCATCCAAGGGAATGAGTTCCACTCAATGAAGTAAGGAAGGCGGTGCAATAAAGCAATTTAAATAAATAAATAAGGTGAATAAATGTATAACAATACCTATGAAGAACTCCTTTTAAAAATTAATAGAATTAAAGGCTAGTTTCTGTACTACTCCAAGTACTATAGGGTGAGATCTGGACCTTCTAAACAACTTTACACTTAAATTTACAATTGAAAATTACATCATTCGGCTCTTATACACTGAAATAAAGACATATTTGACAATAATTCATCCAACTCGCTGTGATGGCCAATCACTTGGTTGTTATAACTAACAAGTTTAAAATAAGATTTAAAAAAATATAAGGAACTTAGCTTTAGATCCTTTGGTTAGTTGACGCCCCTCACAACCCTTATGCCTGCCTACAGCGAGGCCTTTGAGTGGTTTTGTCGAGTGGCGTCAACTACCATTGGCAACGACTACCAGCAACTATTCAGATTTTGCGAGACCGCGGGCAAATCGGCACAATCTGCTAGCCCGAAACAACCCAATGCGCATACCAGGTACCCACAAATTCGCCACACTGGAACGCTGCAGCTATATTAGGAACCAGCAGACATATTAAAAATGTAGGAGCACATTCTTGAGCTCTTTTTAAATTTTTCCTAAAACTCTGTTATTTCATTTATTTAGGATAATCAGAAAAAAACTTTCTAATGGCAATTTTTTAAATTAATATTTTTTTTCTCCAAATGTCCTAAAACTTTTGAGCTGATTTCAGTTCCAAGTATAATTTTTCATAGATTCTGAGAAAAAAATTAAATAAACGAAAGTATGTAACTATTCTTGACTGAAAATCAAATCTATATTCCAGCTACGTCACAGTAGAGTCCACACAGGCGAACGTCCCTACGTTTGTAACATTTGCTCACGCGCCTTCACGCAATCCAACGATTTAGCTTTGCACATGCGCAGACACACCGGTGCTCGACCTTACGCTTGTGGCGTGTGTCCTGCCAGATTTATTCAATCCGGACAATTGAAGAATCACCGGCGCCAAACTGGACACTGGATGGAAACACAACCGGACCTTAAAGGAGGACATCGGTGAGTATCTTAATCCATATTTTTGTTATGCAGATATCGGACAGAAAAGACAATTTTATATAGGATTTTTATTTATAATATACTTATTTAACTTTTCAGAGTAGGTATCACATCATTTTAGCCATTAATTCTTATCTTCAAATAAATGAAAATCCACATAAAATTGTATTTTTACGATCTTCTACTCATTTAAATTATGATGACCGTTATTTTGTTTGATAGAGTGGAACCAGTGACGTCTGCAGTGGAACCGATGCCGATAAAATTCAAATCGTTCGGCAAAACCCGTGGAATGGTTAAAATTGAACAGCAACAAGGGGAACCGTTATTATTAGCCAACCAACAACCCAGCATACTCGAGCAATCTCTCAACTCGCAACAAACTCATCAATTAGGCGAATTGCAACAGCCTCAACGCATTTTGATGGGAATTATGGGCAATATTAAGCTTCAAGGTGAAAATGGTGAACCATTGATACTGGATGGCAATACCAATAAAATAGTTGAGCTACCAGGTGGTCAATTGGGTTTGGTTAGTTTGCCCACAGTGATACAAAATGCTGATGGTGAACAGATTAAATTGAAAACTGAAATTGGTAATTTTAATTTGGGTCAAGTTGATGAGGATTTGGATAAACATGAAGTTAGTACTTCTAGTGTTTCATACCAAGATACTGATGGGGTTGTATTTTCTACAGTACAAACTGGTACTACGTATAGTTCGGCAGAAAATTTCAATTTTCAAACTTTTAATTAGGTAGCTTTTTTTCTGATCTCAACAACTGTTTGGTTTTCACATTAGAGTGGTTAAGTTAAATCAATTCCTTAGTTTATGTACAAGGTTTTTGGTCATTATAAATAACTTGCCCGTAGGAGAATGCCTACTTTAACTAAATATGTCATTGTAAATATTATTTGACTTGTGGGAATCCTTGTCTTTTTACTTTATGTATTATCCAGCATCACATTTTTACTTATATTTAAGATTTTACTTGTAAATATATTTGTATTTTATATAAACTATAGAGAAAAATAAATAGGTGTATTTTATGAATTTAATTATTTACTTAAAGTGTATCTATTTTTAAGATTTGCCAGAAATATAAAAAATTAAACAATTATTTTAAATGTCTTTACTACTTAGGGGCAACGTGATGAGGATGTTTTGCTATTATATTTGAACAGCTTTCTATCCTCACACTGTGTAGCCATTCCGAAAATATTCTCAGTTAAGATGACTTGGAGACAGCCAAGTCTCTGTAAGCGAAATGATGTCATTGGTAGTTGCAGGCCTCAACACCCTGTGAGTATTCCCCAGATTTCGCCCTGACGTTTTGATGAAATAAATTCAATAATTTAATTGTAGAACAAATTTTTGAATTTTCTGTAGTCTATTATTATAGTCATTGGCTCATATGAATAAAACGGAAGCAAATGCTTTTGCTTAAGTTTTTTGAGATAAACATATTCAGCTTTATTGCAGCAAAAAGAGACCGAGGTAGAATAAAAGCATTTGCTACACTTTATTCATACGACTAATTAGTCTCGGTCATGACCAGTGATGGTATATTATGGAATTTCTAGGTTTAGGGATTTTTTAATTTATAATCCCGTAATATTTTATCGCAAGATGGAAAATAATTAAGCATTTTTTATACATATTATGCTTTTTATTTATATAAAATAACAATATCATAATGAAATTGCACCGATTATACAGGGTGGGCCATTTAACTTGAGACAGTCTAATATCTCGAAAACGGTGCGTTTTTGAAAAAAAAGTTCTAACAAAAGTTACATGGTATCATGGAGGAAACAAAATGGCGGCACTGATTTTTGACATTGACAACGTTTTCAAGGTCAACTCTTTTTTTTTTCCAATGGAAACGTAAAAAAACGGCACATCAGAATTGGCTCAAATTTGGCATAAACATTATTTGATCGATTATCTACAATTCCTTATTTTGGTTTTTCGATATTCAGCCTTTTTTTTAAATTCAAAAAACATGTTCGCAACCACCAAAACAATTAAATGTGTTGGTGGTTGCATATTTGCATATTTATCAAGCTTGGATCCGTGAAAAGCATATTTTATTGATAACCACGAAAAACTAAAAAAAGCTAATTGTAGAGATTGTAGATAATATATCAAATAATGTTTATGCCAAAGGATTTTGGAAATTATTGCGGATTTTTTGAGATGACCTTAAAACGAATTTTGAAGGTGAAAACAGTTCAAACAATTTCAAGTAGATGGTGCCACAGCAAAAAAGCTACATTGGGAGCATCATAATTGTTTATTTGTCTTTCTCTGTCACTTTGTTTCACCGACAAACAAATTTTGTTTTGGACAAAAATAAAATATTGAACCGTACGTGTAGAGTGACGCAGTGGTCATTTTTAAAAACTAAATTTAAACATGGCGGCCATTAACGCGGCCTTAAACTTTTTTTTTTTCAAAAACGCACCGTTTTCGAGATATTAGACTGTCTCAAGTTAAATGGACCAACCTGTATATGAAGCTTAGTACAATGTGTTAAAGAGAGAAAAGAAAAACATCTCTATTGCAAGTTGCTTGCATCAATCGAATATCTCTTTCTAACGCGTATAAATAAAGAAAGATGCGATATAAATATTTCGTACTGAACGCAAGATCATCCAATTCTTGTTTTCAAGATTTTACGTTCATCTACTTGTACTTGTTGACAGTTTTGAATGGTTTTAGGTTCGAGTGCGGGATTCCCTCGTGGTAGAAATCGAATATATTCTGAAACTAGCGATTTTTATACCAACTACTTTTTTGCGTTCGTATGGGGAATTTCAACTACACCTATCTACCAACACTGGTCATGACGAAACACTGTGTAGCCATTCCAAAAATATTCTCCGTTAGGATGACCTGGTAGTTGCAGGCCTCAACACTGTGTGAGAATTCCCCAGATTTCGTCCTAAAACCCCTGACGTTTTGGTGTAATAAATCAATAATAATTCAATTGTGGAACAAATTTTTGAATTTTCTGTAGTCCTTTCCGCGTGTTGCTAAATTCACCAAAATGTTGCACCGCCACGGATGCAGTGATTGCGATTTACCAATGCCAATGCCAAACCACAGCTTGTCAAATCCTGTTTAATTTAACAACACTACTCTTTCTACCATTCCACCGCGGTGCCTACACCAGCTGAATTTAGCCACACGCGGATTGTTCGTCTCTTATACTTTAAATTTTGTGCATTTATAGGCCTGCTATGATGTTAATGTTGGCTTTGATAATTTTGACGGATAATGATATGTTGCTTCCTTTAAACTTGAGGCATGTTGAAACTCCTACACAGAACAGAATTCTATCAACAATCATTGTGATTATGTGTTTAGTAATTATTAGCGCTGAAATCTGTGACCATGAAGCAGTTTCTCTATAAATTCAAAGCCTCCAAAAATCTATAAAAAAAAATTTAAATAAGAAAAATAATGAAAAGCTTAGTGAGCTATAATGTAGGAGTGTCAACCGGTTCCAAGTTCCGAATGCTGAGAATCTTCTTCAAAAGTTTCATTCACTTCTGGTAAACATTTTTTGAAAGTAATTTGCTTACAGACAACAGCATCTAGGGATTTCATCCAGAAACGAGAAATGTATGTACAATGTGTTTACTTCTTATTTGAATAAATTTATCGACGCATACTGCAAAACTTTCAAAGCTGCTAAATATTCAAACATACTTTGAAGGGTAGAATATTTAACTTTAAATTCAAGCAAAAGGCCCACCGATATTAGAAAAATTAAAATTATGTTTAATGAAATAAGTAATAAAAATTCATCTGGCTGGGACGAGATGTTTTTGAAGGTTTTTTTTTTTGCTCTTGCCCATTTGAGTTGGTTTTACCCGTACTACCTATACTTGCTAAAACCATAAACCACTCAGTTGCATCGGTAATACAACTCACTGTACATTATTCCCATATGACTGTAGCGCCCTTTCGGTTTTTCCTTTTCTTGCTTTAACGGTTATCTCGGGCGCCACCCTCAGGATTATTGTGGTTGAGGGCCCACGTGCACCAGGTAGCTTGTTACAGTGGAGAACAGGGGTCGAATCAGATGCTGGAAGTTATTCCTTCTATACCTCCTGTAAATCCAACAGAAAATAAGATCAGTTCCAATAGCGCCGCTGGTAACCGGCGAAGGCAATTTTTTTTTCGGTGCCACGCCCCTTTTTTCGCATTTTAACGTACTTATTCGATATCGATAGTTAAAAATGATGGTATTTTTTCCGCTACAAATTCACTGTCCGCATCATTTGTTTAGGTAATTGTCTAATGGCCGGTATTATGAAATACTGAACCAGGGCCGTAGCTAGAGTCAAATTTATGATAGGGTATGATACATTTGACATAGGGCATACACTACTTGCCCCCTACTTAAGTTTTTTATAGGTAAACAAAATGGGGCTAATGGCGCCGATTGCCGAAGGCAAACTTTTCAATAAATCAAGGTTCAGGGTTTGTCTGGCAATGGGTAAATTGATGACGCATTTGATCTGGGGTACCTTATAGAGATTTGCATTATGTTGAGGCACCCTAGATGACGTCATAAAGAGACCTGGCAACCTACCTCTCTCGCCTCTATCAAACAACCTTGCAATAAATAACATCTTTGGCAAGTAAACAAAATGGCGCTGATTCCCGCGCCGGCCGCCTTGGGCCATTCCTACTCTTTCAAAACAAAAAAACTTCCTCTGTGCAAACATCAAACATTGTTCATTACATTTAGGCGACTTAGGCGTTTTCGGAAACATTCATCCTCGCTTACTCGATTTCAGACCTTTCTACTTCAGGCATTATCTACTCTTAAATTTTCTAGAGAAACCTTAATGCATGTTGATTTTTAAAGGTAGGGCATCATCATTTAAAAGATAGGGCATTGCCCCCTGGCTTCGGCCCTGCACTGAGCCGATGGTTGTTTCAACATTCGGTTTACTCCATCCAAATTGATAGGATTCAACCGAAGGTTGAAACTCAACCATCGGTACGAACTCTCTTTTACTGCTTTCTTGTTCAAAAGACTATTTCTAGGGGGGGGGCAAATGCCCCCTCTTGCCCCCCCCCCCCAAACGACGCCCATGGTTTTAACTGTTTGGAATACTGATGTACCCGTTTCACACTTTATGTAAGACATTTCGGATACAGACATGAATTTACTTGGTTGGTCAATACGGTAACCTTAAATCGGTTAGAATCAACCGCAACGGCGGTGGAAATAAAGCCCTGTCCGTACACATGAACCGTGACAGTATAAATAATATGTAAGAGAAAACTATCCGTACAGATGAACCGTGACAGTTTATAGAACCTTACACTATGTCGTGACAATAAAACATAAAACATGAACCAATATATGAAGAGAAACTGTCCGTACACGTAAACCGTGACAGCTATAGAACTTTAAACTTTGTGAAAATAAATGTTTTAGAGAAAACTGTCAGTACACATAAACCGTGACAATTTATAGAACTTTACTTTGTAAAAATAAATATCTTAGCGAAAACTATCCGTACACATAAACCGTGATAGTCTATAGAATCTTAAAATCTGTCCGTCCAAGTGAACCGTGACAGTAAAAACAAAAATATAATTTACCAACCAAGTAATAATGAAAAATAACTTACTCGCGTAGCGGTGAAACAGGTACCAGTCGGTATTTCGGAGAGAAGGCCTACCTCGGTATTCGGTGGAAGTCGGAAGCGTCTACTTAGTTGGTGGACTTGGGCCGGACTGACTTAACCCAACGCTGTTGGTTGGTAAGGAAAGCGCTCGACGATGGAAGGGCAAGCTTCGTGGGAGAAAATACCATGGCGCGCTTCGGCTACCATAGGTCCAAAGCCAGCGAGCAGCCTCGAGCGTGCGACCAGCCAAACTGCTATTTGCACCGAGATCACGCGTAAAATAATATATTTAGAAATGAATAATATTTCGGAGAAACTCAAGAAAGCCGCGCTTCTTCTTAAAATCAAAGAAAAGTTGTGTGGCTTTAGTTACACAAATAATTAAAAATACGATAATCAGGTAAAATCATTACCGCGGGATTGACCGAAAATTACCTGGAGCAAATAGTCGAATTAAAGTCAATTAATTAATCAAATTGAAGTCAGAGGCGCACACATTTTCGGAAAAAATCTGGTAACTCCGTTACATGACACGAGAGGCTTAAAAAGTGATAAGCCTTTTGGGATTATCGCGCTTGGTGGCAATATTTATAGCAAATTCTATTATAGAGCAGTTCTGTAGAAAATCAAATGGGAATAAACAACATTTTTTACAATAATTGTTCATTTGTTATTAATAATAAAAATTAATAAAGTATTAAAGTTTAGTTCGTTGTATAACCTTTTGAATATATGCCAATCGATGTTTAAGGATTACCTAATACTTTAACCTGACACTCAACGCATTACCAGCAACACCACTCCTCCTTTGGATTCGTGGTGTTGCTGCGTAACGCGTTTCGTGTTAGGTGAAAGTATTATCCGGTAATCTCGAAACCTCTTGTAGTATTACATTCAAGAATTTTCCCCTCTTGCTTAAAGATAGCAACTGAACTATGTACCTTTATATTTTAAAGGTTGCGATGCTGACACTCCTTCAAATTTTAGACCTATATCTGTATTGCCCACATTATTGAAGATAATCGAGACTGGTAAAAACGAGACTTCACTATTTTTTGGGAAGATATGCCTTAATTTCTTACTTCAAACAATTCAGATTCCAGGGACGAATGATGGCATATTCCCCTTTTTGGGAAAATTATATTTGGGAATCAATGAGGGACCCCAGCAGTTTTTGGTGATTTATCGAAGGCTTTTGATTCCGTCAATCACGAAACAATGTTGTGGTAACAGGATTACAAATCCTGGATTCAAATTTGAAAAGGAATTCCTCAAAATAAATGCTTGCATTTTTCTGGTTGTTTTAGCAACTGAAGGAGAATTTCAACAAAGAGGAGCTCCACCTCATTAGCCACAATGAAGCCTAATTGTTATGCAAATAAGCATCTCTCAGACCTCCCTGAAGTGGAATTACTAGGAATCAAGTGCACAAAAAAAAAGTAAACTATCAATATAAAAAATTATAACAATTTATTTATAACAATTTACACTAAATAGGGAATCATTAAAAAAAACTGAAATATGTATTCACATTTACAAAAAACAATTCGGTTAAATGCTTCTTCAGATCAACACCGATAAAATGCTATTTCGAAACAATTTCAGCTGCTGCAGTCTTCTATATTAAGAACAAACACCCACTCACTCTAACTACATTTTTGTCCCAAATAATAACGCACGGACTTCTGTAAATAATTAAAAACTTCTGCCAAAATATTTAAAACAATTTTTTTGACAGAGCGCAATCACACTTGTGGGTCTTCCTTTTCAGAAAAAAAAGACAATGAATTTGGTTTGGAAGTTTCTTTACGTGGGACCTGATTACATCATTCCACCCATGCCTCCCATACCACCCATACCGCCCATTCCTGCAGGTCCAGCGGGTTCTTCTTTAGGAATATCTGTTATTACTGCTTCAGCTGTTGTGAGTAGTGAAGCTACGCCTGAAGCATCTACAAGGGCTGTTCTGACAACCTAAAAAAAAAAAAAAAAAAAATGTTGAAAACCAACTAATATCTCATTGAATTATGCTGTAATAGTTATAAGGTCTGTTCGCACAGAAATCACAAACCAGTCAGAGCGAATTTCATTGGTTGAAATTAGTCTTCTGACTATTTTCAACCAATGAAATTTGCTCCGACTGGTTTGTGATTGCTGTGCGAACAGGCCTACTAACATTATAGGGCCGATAAATAGTAAATCGCCGAGGATCATAATCAAATTAAATCAAAATCAAAACAAGCAAAATGAACCAAAATCTTACCTTGGTTGGATCAATAATACCCCTCTCAAACATTTGAACATATTCATTATTCATCGCGTCATAACCATAATCTCCTGTTTGTTGTTCCACTTTGGCCACAACGGCGGCACCGTCAACTCCAGCATTCTTGGCGATGGTCATGCAAGGAATCCTCAAAGCTTTCTTGACAATTTCGATACCAATTTCTTGATCTTTGTTTAGGGGAGTGATTGTGTCCAAGCTTGAGGAGCATCTTAATAGAGCGGTACCACCACCGGGAACAATTCCTTCTTCTACAGCCGCACGAGTGGCATTTAGGGCGTCAGTTACTCTGTCTTTCTTCTCATTAACCTGAGAATGAATGAGTATATAATAAAAAGGGTAAAATAAAATAGTATCCAAATAAAAATGCGCCCCACAAGTGGACGCATTACATGGGATCATAAACATTATATTGAACCACAATTATTATTACTTATTTGAAGCTTTTTTCGTTATAGATAAGATATCTGGACTGGAACTCTGTAACGCCCTATTGCTATGGCACTTGCTGTCTTCTTCTCTCTTCTCGAAATCAATAGAGAGGGGACGTCAATAGAGATAGAGAAAATATCTCTATTCGTTACAGAGTCCCAGCCCTGATGTACAGGGTGGCCCATTTTCAATGTTTTAATGGGGTAAATCAAAAACTAGCAGAGGTATCAAAATCTGGGAGCACATTCTCGACCTCTTTTTTTTGAGAAAATAACCTTGGTGCAGACAAATCACGGCTAACTTGATGCGTTTAGGAAATACAGGGCACTTTTCAAATTTTGGCCAATTTTAAAAAATCCTCTAATTTCTTTATTAATCAAGATATCCAAAAACGATAAATACTTTCTATAGGCAATTTTTCAAGTAGAATCCAGTGACATGACCAATTTTTTTCCAGATGTCACCGATTTTGGAATATTAGCTAAAGTTGTTTTTTTTTAAATGGGACACCCCGTATATTATTTTTTCATTGAATAGCTCTTTGTGAGCTATGGTTATTTTCTCAAAAAAAGAGGTCGAGAATGTGCTCCCAAATTTTTGATATCTCTGCTAGTTTTTGATATACCCCATTAAAACATCGAAAATGGGCCACCCTGTACAGGGTACTAAATGAATTCTACCAAAAAAAATTGCACCAGGCTTGTTCTTACCTCAACTTCACTGCTACCTCCGACTTTTAATACTGCTACACCAGAAGCCAATCTAGCCAACCTCTCTTGCAATTTTTCCTTTTCATATTCCGAAGTAGTCGTTTCAATTTGATCTCTAATTTGATCGGCCCGCCTATCAATATCCTCCTTTTTGCCCTTGCTTTTCAAAATCAAAGTATCGTCTTTTGTAATGACAATTTCGCCAACTTGTCCCAAATCGGAGGCTTTGACATCCTCAATTTTGACGACATCGGCCTCGTCGCCAAATACGATACCTCCGCTAGCGATGGCCATATCTTGCAGGGTTGATTTACGATTGTCGCCGAATCCTGGGGCTTTGACTGCAGCTACTTGGAGTCCAATACGTAGTCTGTTGACCACCAAAGTGGTCAATGCTTCACCGTCTACATCTTCTGCAATTATGATCAAAGGTTTTCTTTGAGCGTTTGCTAATTCTAAGGCTGGAACAATGCTTTGGACTGAAGAAATTTTCTTTTCACTGAACAGTACTAGAGCGTCTTGATATTCCACCTTAGCTCCTTTGGTAGTGTTGACAAAATACGGTGAAATGTAACCCCTGTCAAATTTAAGACCTTCAATTACTTCTAGTTCGTCTTTTAGGGTTTTACCATCTTTAACTGTAATGACACCTTCTTTGCCTACACGTTTCATAGCGTCAGCAATGAGGTTTCCTACAGAAGTGTCTCCATTTGCAGAAATAGTGGCAACTTGACAGATTTCCTCAGGTGTAGTGACAGGCTTGGATAAAGTCTTCAACGTCTCGGTAATCTTTTCTACAGCTAAAATAATACCCTTACGGATTTCCACTGGGTTGGCTCCTTTGCCTAAATTCTCGAAACCTTCTTTGGCAATGGAACGAGCTAATACAGTAGCTGTAGTGGTACCATCTCCCGCTTCTTCATTGGTGTTATTGGCAACATCTTGGACGAGACGAGCGCCGATATTTTGAAATTTGTCTTTTAATTCCACACCTTTGGCTACTGTGACTCCGTCTTTGGTGATTTTTGGGGAGCCCCACGATTGTTCAATGATGACATTACGACCCTGAAAGGGAATGAGAATTTTTTGAAATTATGCCAACATAAATATGTAGGATCATGGTTCAAGGTTTTAAAATTCTATTGGTGATGGAGTGACCCTCGGGTGACAAGGACCTTGATAAATATATAAAATTTGTGGATCAAATTAGTATTCGTTATCAGCATCTGAAATTATCTCAACATTTCTATTCAATAATTTTATAAATTATGGTTATAATTCAACCAATAACTAGTTTTAGTTGACTGGCAAATGTGGTTTTGTATAACCTGAACGTCGACATTTTTATATCAGCCTGAATGAACTCTTTCAAAAGAAAATCTCTATAAATTCTAAACATGTCTGAATTAATTTCTTTTTTCGTCTGCACTGCTTTTATTAGTGTAGGATAAAATATTCTCCCTGTGATAAATCAATTAACTATGATAACAAAACTTGGATCATGGATCTATTTCCTGTTATATAGAAATTGAAAAAAATTATTTATCTTTAGTTTGTTGTGATATTGTTAATTATTAGGCAATTCAAACCAAGTGACTTTCAAGATGACGTGGCGGCCACACATGGGCCAAAAAACACAAAAAAAATATCTAGATTCTGCCCGATTTATTAGTTTAGGTACCTAGTCAACAAATATTTTATCAAATAATCAAAATCAAAGTTGCAAGCAAAACTCTAAGCAAAATAATTTCAAATACGCATAAAAACACATTCAAAACAAACTTGCTTGGCCGCCACGCCATGTTGAATTTTCCTATCTGACAGATGGATTGAATTGCCTAATTGTAAAATGTCGTTAATCATAGCTATTGATGATTAAACCAGACAATAGAGATCATATGAGGATCTTTGCTTGCAAAATTCATGGTAGTTCTGGAAATAAGCTTACTTTACTTAACTATAAGTATATGAAACTATATCATTATTCATAGGGTGTTCCACTTTCAATGTTCACGACTGTACATTCAAAAATAGCAACTTTTTTCTAATTTAACCGTCCTTGTATCTCTCACCGTTTCCGATATACATAAAGTGTGTTTTTTTAAAAGATAATTCCCCAAGTCAAAAATTTAGTGTGATTTTTTTTTTTAACCAATGGTGGAACCTGGTATTTTTGACACCCTGTAGAAAGGCCAGTGACAGTCCTCGCAAATGGTTCATATGTCCCAAACAAATCAAGCTCACTCAGCTGACTGCACAATCTGAGAATATGAGAAATGGAAGAATGATATCTCTAATTGGTTCTGTCGAATTGCTGAAGCAATTTTTGAGTTGTGCTAGTATTGCAAAAGGGAACATGTATGTAACCAACTTGGAATGTTAAGTATGGACAGTTTATGGTAGAGTTTATGATTTTGTGAATCATTTCTAAGTATATTTGAGGTTTTCTGATGAAAAATGAAATTCTTGGCTATTGAAAAATCTGTAGTTCAAGTATCTGAGGAATTTGCGCTGTACACTTTCAAGTCGATGTATATGATATGGCAGGCGTAGTTTGGACTCCATACTGATGCAGCATACTCGAGATGAGTATGGACTGATGTTTTGATGGAACTAATTAATATTCATGAAGTCCCTTGTACTGCGTTCCACAAATCCCAGCATTCGGAGCGCCTTATTGATAGTGAGGTCGATATGATCAGCAAAATCTTACTGAGGATTCCAAGACGCCCAAATCCTTGATTAAGTTCCAAGTTAAGTTCCATGCCATTAGTCCGGCATCCATCTTCAACACCTTCCTGGAGTGCAAGGCAGTCATTTTGGGTAGCTGTTTTTAAAAACAATTTAAGATCGTCTGCAAATAGAAGAAAATGGCAGTGCCTGAAGAAAGATGCAATGTCGTTGATGAAATTGTTTGAAAGTAAAGTTCCCAGGTGTGAACCTTGAGGCACGCCTGATGAGACTGGGATTTGTGATGAAGTGAAGTTGTTCATCATTACCATCTGGACTTTTTCAGTGAGGTAGCTCTCTATTCAGAGAAGTAGGAAGCCAGAAATGCCCAGTGTCTCCAATTTCCTGATCAAGACTGCATGAATCACTCTGTCAAAAGCTTTGGAGAAGTCGGTATATATTGAGTGTACCTCTCCACCTCTCTCCATAGCATTTGTCAGTAGGTCAAATTAGGTAAGAAGATTAGTTTCTTTTTGAAGCCGAATTGCCCGGATATAATTTCTGCACCCTGAATCTCCTGATGAATTGGTACTATGTAGCTGGTCTTCCAGAAGTCAAGAAAGATGCCGCATCGAGTCAGCTGTCAAATATAGCATGCAGAGGTCTAGATTCTAGATAGCACAAAGCAGCATGTTTTTAGGAGTAGAGGATGGACTTTATCGATACCAGGTTCCTTTTGTGGGTCTACGTTTTTTTATTTTGTATAAATATCTGAGATTGAAATATGTAGTAAAATTATTTAAATTATGACGACTGAGAGATGGCTGGTGGGGAGAGGCTGAATAATGGTTAGTGTATGTACAGGGTGGTCATTTTATCTTGATAACATTTCAAACTGTCATAATTTTTTTATTTTTGAAGTTTTTTAAATAAATAAAAAAACATACTGTAGGGTTGTTCTCCAAGTTTTAGATAGGGTGGACAAAAAACAAAAGACTAATATATTTTGACAGTTATGCACACGAGTAGCATTTTTTCAAATGGAACACCCGGTAAATTTTTAGTTTGTTTGATAATATGTGTCATTCTGATTGTACTATATACAATACAATACAATTGAATACAATTTAATTCATATTTACATGCAGAAATGTTTTATTTATTCTAATGGGAAATTCTGTCTACCTACCTACCTTTGCAGGTAATCTGTGTAGGTAATCAATATTTTCAGTTAGAATAAATAAAACATTTCTGCTTGTAAATATAAAGTGAATTGTATTCCAGTGTATCGTATTGTATACATTGCAATCAGAATAAAAGATATTATCAAACAAACTGAAAATTTAGTGGATGTTCCTTTCAAGAAAATGCTGTTTGTGCGCATAACTGTCAAAATATATTAGGCTTTTGTTTTTTGTCCACCCTATCTAAAACTTGAAAAGCAACCCTACAGTATGTTTTTTTATTTATTTGAATAACTTTAAAAATAAAGAAATTATGACAGTTTAAAATGTTATCAAGATAAAATGACCACACTGTACCGTGCATTCAATTTATCTTGATAACATTTTAATTCGCTGTAACTTTTTTGTTTTTGAAGGTATCAAGGTAAACAAAAAAACAAAATGTAGGGTTGGTAGCCAAGTTTTTTTTCAAGGTACCTTTAAAACAAAACACTATCAATTTTATGACATATGAGCCTACATTATATTTTTTCAAATGGAACACCCTGTATATTATATATGCGTTTGATAGAATATCTTATTTCGATTACAATGATATAACACACTTTATATTTTAGTCTACTCGTTTTTGACAAATCGGCAAAAATATGATATTTTTATATGCACTATCAATGATTCTCTCCCCAAATATCAGATCGCCGCCTAATAAGTTTCACTTCAAAAGTTTCATATATTTTTGCCGATTTGTCAAAAACGAGTGGACTAAAATATGGAGTGTATTATATCATTGTACAGTAATATAATATACAGGGTGTTCCATTTAAAAAAATATAATGTTGGTTCATATGTCAGAAAATTGATAGTGTTTTGTTTTATAGGTAACTTGAAAAAAAACTTGGCTACTAACCCTACATTTTGTTTTTTTATTTACCTTGATACCTTCAAAAACAAAAAAGTTACAGGGAATTAAAATGTTATCAAGATAAATTGAACGCACGGTACATACAGGCTCTTTCCATCCATGATTAAATATTTCGTTTAAATTATTAATCTTTGGTTAAATTCAAAGTTGGTGTCAAATGATAGCTTATGAAAATCTAAGACAGGAATGTAAAATCGGTTTTCCTCTAAAGTTAACCTTTTAGGTTTTACAGTCTGTCAAAGATGCAAAAAAGTAAATTTTAACCTGTCAATATTCCCAAAACAGTTGAAGATAGGTATGACATTATACATGAAATATGTCTAGAATTTTCCACAGAAATGTCATAATATACAGGGGGAGTCATTTCAAAAAACATAACTTTGTATCATCACTACTTATTGGGCCGCCTTGTATACTGGAAAGTAAATTAGGAATGTAGTACTCATGTTTATCTGCAAGTTTTGTATTTAGTTTTTTTTTTCGATCCCCGTTAGTATAGGAGATATGGACGACCGCGTGCTTAGTAACTCACCCTGTTTTCGGAATATCCCAAATTTCGAAGTAGCGTTCTGTTAAGAAAGAAACCGCGCAACTTTGCCTCAGTTTACCCAAACCTGTAGCTCCCACCAGTTCTTATAGCCTAATGGTTGCCCTCGAATAATGGATACTCTGATTTGGAATCAGGAAGAAAAGATCTTTCAGTTTATCACATAATATACAGTGTGTTCCATTAAAAAAAGTTGAAGTTGTCTACGTTTTTCCATTTTCCGATGTGATTTTGTTTCTTCTGATAATGTTAAAAGATAATATAGCAAAAAACATTCAAGTTTGGTATATAAAATTTTTTTTTCTATCTCAAATAGTGAAGGCTGTAGGTATGGGCTTAAATACAGGGTTATTGGTAATTCGATACATTCCTTTGGAGGTGTGATAGAAAATGAGGTAAGGAGTAAATTTAACCATAAAATGCTTAATGCAAAACTCAATAGTTTTTGAAATATTTCAATGTTCCTGTTTTTCTTAGGCTGTGGTCCGAATATAACCAGGATTGTGGTTTCGCGGTCCGAAAGTAATCAAATTACTCTGGTTTCTGGAACAGTGGTTACTTTTGGACCTTGGTTTCCTGAAATCTGGTTAACCAAATGTCAAAATAGTCACCGGCTATCAAATGTCGGTTCTGTTGGTTTTATCTGTAAATGCTGCCAATTATTTTTTTATTTCATATTCGCGTTCCCCAAGTAACCAGAATTTTCAGTAACCATCCGTCAACCGACTCGCTTACTTTGGTT